GGAGCCCGGAGAGGGAGTCCGGAGAGGGGCCCCGCCGTGGCCCTGGCCGCCGGGAAGGTCAGGGGGACCCAGGGGGACCGACCAGCCCCTGCCCCGCGCCTGGCCTCCTCCCACCCCTGCGTCCTCTGCTCTGCACAGCTGGCTCTAGGTCCCGCGGGCCGGGTCCGGCCTCCACCTTCTCCTGGTGATGCGGCCTCCTGGTGGCTCATGCCTGAAATCCTCGTCACCCTGCTGGACTGAGATCTGAGGGCCACGGGTTTGAAGCCAGCCTGGGCAGAAAAGTCTGCGAGGCTTGTGTGTGTCTAATCAACCAGCAAAGTTTTGGACTGGAGGCATGATTGAAGTGGTAGAGTACCAGCAGTGTGCACAAAAGCCCAAGGATGGTACAAGGCCCTGAGTTTAAGCTCCAGAGAAAGAGAAAGAGAGAGAGAGAGGGGGATGAAGTGCTGACCTGGCACTAAGCAGGGGTTTTCAGAATGACCTTAGCAAGAGGTGTCTTAGTAGTTGATGGGCAAAAATCTGGGTTTCACAAAAAAAAAAGAAAGAAAAAAGCAGAAGCTGGGCGTCAGTGGCTTACCAACTCAGGAGGTTGAGATCACGGTTCAAAGCCAGCCCAGGCAGGAAGGCCCATGAGACTCATCTCCAATAAACCACTAGAAAACCAGAAATGGCGCTGTGGCTCCAGCAGAACTCTTACCTTGAGCTGAAGAGTTCAGGGGCAGCGCCCAAGCCCAGAGTTCAAGCCCCATGACCACCAAAAAAAAAAAAAAAGGAAGAAAAAAGCAGAGATTGGGCACCACACACAGAGGCATTTCTTGCAGGAAGCTCTGCGTAGAGAAGGAAGACCTGGGGTAGTAGGTGAAGTCACAGCAAGGCCCAGAGACAGGATCTCCTGAAGACGCTGAGAATGATCCAGAGGGAGATGGACTATGCGATGATTGGTCAGCAGAGGCAAGGGCTGCTGGCCCGCTGGCCCCTGTAGCAGGTGTGAGATGGGAGGGAGCGGGTGTGGTGGCAGAGGGGAGCAAGGACACTTCTCTGAAAGCCACAGGGGTCAGGCAGAAGGTCTCTTGGTAGAGCTGTGGCTGGAGGTTGGTGCAAAGGTTTTGTGTCAACTGCAGGTTCTCTTTATGTCACTTCTGTTGTCCCAGCAAGGGGAGGCATTAGCTGTGAGGGGGTAGGCAGAGGGAGTGGTGTTCTGACCAGAGGTACATACTTCAGGGCTGCTGGCTGCCCTGAGGGCTGGTCAGTCAAGGCAGGTAAGAAGGTGCCACATTGTAGAAGCTCCTTGACTTTTAGTGCAGTCCCAGGCCGAGAAACCCTTACACTGAAAAGGCACTGACTGCTTCTAAGCCACTGCAGGGCCCACTCGGCACCCAGCCAGCACAGAGGTGCACGGCTGCACACCTTGCTGTCCCATGGACCTACCACTGGAGCTAGCTGCTGTCCAGCATCATCAAAGAATCAAATCCAGCATCACCAGGAAAAGACCCAAACTCCAGACTCATTCTGTTTCTACTGAATGCTTAACCCTTTCCTCCTCTTCCTCTTCTTTTTTCCTCCTTTTCTTCCTCCTCCTTCTTCCAGTCTTGGGGCTTCAACTCAGTGGCTGGGCGCTGTCCCTGAGCTCTCTGTGCTCAAGGCTAGCACTTTACCACTTAAGCCACAGCGCCACTTCTCACTTCTGGCTTTTTCTGTTTCTGTGTTGCTGAGGATTCAAACCCAGGGCTTCATGCCTGCTAGGCAAGCACTCTACCATTGAGCCGCCTTCCCAGCCCTGCACAGCCCTTTCTCACCACTATACCACCGAAACAGCGAGGGAGGGCACCAGCTGCTGTCCTCGCCTCATTCATGTGGTCCTTCTTTTTATTTTGGTCGGTCCTGGAGCTTGAACTCTGGGCCTGGACGCTGTCTCTGAGCTCTTCAGCTCAAGGCTAGCACTCTACCAATTGAGCCACAGTGCCAGTTCTGGCTTTTTTCTGTGTATGTGGTACTGAGGAATCAAACCCAGGCTTCATGCATGCTAGGCAGGCACTCTACCACTAGGCCACCTTCCCAGCCCTATGCGGTCCTTCTTTGGACCTGTATTTGTCTCTTCTTTTTTCCTCAGGAGTCACTCTTTTCTGCAGCCATCTTGAACCCAGGATCATCAGGACTGATGGATAAACATCTTTGAACTGGGTGTGTACGTATGTGTGTGTGTGTCGGGGGTGGGGGTGTATACTGCTTCAAGCCTGTAGTTCTAGCTAATAATCAGGAGGATGAGATCTGAGCTATAACCAGTTCAAAGCCAGCCTGGGCAGGAAAACTCTGTGAACTATTTCCAATGAGCTATCACAAAAGATAGTGTGGCTCAACTGAATCATAAACCCTGAGTGAAAAAGCTGAGGGGCAGTGCTCAGGCCTGGGTCCAAGCCCTGGTAACCCCGCCCTGAATACTCCATACCACAAATAACCTACAGAAAATCTTCAACTGGAACTGAAACTATGCCCAAGGTGCTGGAGGCGTGGCTCAGTTGGCAGAGTGCTACCCAATGAGCAATAGTGGCAGATAGAGCTGGAGCTCAAATTCTGGTCTCAAAACTGAAAGAAAAAAAGAAAAAAGAAAAGAAACAACACCTGGGGCTGGGAAGGTGGCTCAGTGGTAGAGTGCTTGCCTTGCATGCCTGAGGCCCTGGGTTCGATTCCCCAGCACCACATAAGCAAAAAGAAAAAATAAGCCGGAAGTGGCGCTGTGGCTCAAGTGGTAGAGCACTAGCCTTGAGGTGAAGAGCTGAGGGACAGCGCCCAGGCCCAGAGTTCAGGCCCTATGACCGGACCCAAAACAAAACAAAACAACAAAAAAAGAATACCTGAGCATCAACGGAGCCTCTCAGGACAGCCCCCACTCACTCCCACAAGGACAGTTACCATGATAATCAGGTTGTACCCCTGAGAATGGCAGCAGAACATCTTCTCCAGACCCCAGAAGAACTAGAGGTCAAACAACGATCAGGCCGCTGGCCAGACCAACATACTGGCTCTTGTCAGCCACACAAACCTCAACCTCCTTTGTCTGTCTGTCTGTCTGTCTCTTTTTTTTTGCACTAGTCCTAGGGCTTGAACTCAGGCCTGGGCACGGAGTTTCTTATGCTCAAGGCTAGCACTCTACCACTTGAGCCACAGCACCACTTCTGGCTTTTTCTGTGTATGTGGTACTGAGGAATGGATAGCACTCTACCACTTGAGCCACAGC